ATTAATAAGTAGTTAATATTAAAATATTTATGTTTGTGTAAAATATGAAATAGAAAATTTATTTATTTATTTAAAAAAAAAATGTTATTTGCTTAAATGTTTTAAATAATTGATGTTATTTAATGTATGATAATAATAATAATAAGTTTATTATATATATATATATATATATATATATATATATATATATATATCATTAACATAATTTATTTTTAAAATATTTTGTTAATAAATTTATATTATTTTATATTTATATATAAAACAAATTAATTAATAAATAAATAATTATGTTAAACGTTTACAAAAAAAAATGTTGGTTGTTTATGTTTGCAAAAAATAATAATAATAAAATAATTTTTTTTTTTCAACGCGTTAAATAAATAAATAAAAGTGTCAAATAAACATAATAAATAAATAAATATTTTATTTATTAATTATTTATTATTTATTTAATTTATTAATTTAAAAAAAAAAAGGAAAACATATCCGTCGAAAAAAACATTTAAAATAAACGCACACCGGGGGAGAACTTTTTGAAAATTAAATATATAAATAAATAAATAAATAAAACTAGTTTAGAATACACGTTTTGCACGAATGTATAAAAATTTTTTGAGATTTATTAATTGTTTTTATTTATTTTAATAATTAATTATTGCGATTAAAAATTATTAATAATGGATACGTTATAACGGTTTTTTATTTAAATAAATTCGGTTGGTAAATCAAATGATTGAAAACTTTTTGAAACGAAGAGGGCGCTAGTGTGCTACAATGGTTGACAGTTGACACACGTTTATATCATAATAATTTATTTAATTTATTTTAATAGTTTTATTTAACGATTTAGTTATAAGTTATGTATCAAAAGTTTTGTTATTTAGTGTAGTTTATTGTGATGTAATTAGTTTTTTATATTATTTAGTAATTATTGTGTTATTTTAAGTTTAAGTTTACAAATTGTCAACGGTTTGTCATGTGACAAAAAGAATAATGGCCGACAAAAAACCTTAGAAGATGGTTTAGTACATCTGATTACTATGGGGTAAGTGTTTCATTTTCATACTTGTGTTTCACTTGCAAAAACGTTAGGCTGATAAAAAAAATGGAGCCAAAATAACCAAATAACACAAAAATGTTTACAAAATTTTACATTTATTTGGTTAACTAAAGGGGAGTTTAACTAAATATCTTTTTCATCTCATCATAAAAAACCAAAATTGAAGTAAATTAATAAAGATATTTATTAATAATGATTGATTTGATATATACAACTCAGTGTGCAAATTTCTATACTCTAACCTTTAAGGGTTGATTTACTGATTGTTGGTTGTTTTAAGCATTTTCATGAGTTAGTTTGTCTCATTACAACACACTGTATCATACAAATGGTGTAATACTCTCTATAAATCTAAATCAAAGCCAGGAGGAATTGATAATCTATATAATAATTGATTTTAGTGTAAGGTATTATGAAAAGACACAAAAGACTCCATTTTATAATTGTATATCTCTTGAGCTGATTATGGGTAGTCGAGCTAAATACCTTCTGTCACATTAAGTAAAAATAGATGTAGTTTAATAAAAATACTTAATATTAATTGATTTATTGCATCAGGTGGATGTAAAATCTCAGTACTCCTCATTTAAGTGTGAATCTATGGATTGTACATTACTTTAACTCTTTTATTAAGTTAGTTTGTTTCATTACAACATAGTGTATCATAGAGATAGTGTGATACTCTCTATAAATGTAAATCAAAGTAAGGGGAATTGGGTAGCATTTATGTTAGTTGATTTTAGTGTAAGGTATTATGAAAAGACACAGAAGTCTCCATTTTATAATTGTACATCTCTTGAGCTGATTATGGGTAGTTGAGCTATATACCTTCTGTCATACTAAATAAAAATGAAGGTAGTTTAGTGAAAATACTTGTAATTAATTAATTTATTGCATTAGGTGAATGTAAAATCTCTGTACTCCTGATTTAAGTGTAAATATATTGATTGTACATTACCTTAACCCTTTTCTAAAGTTACTTTGATTCATTATAACATATTTTGCCACATGTTTAGTGTAAAATTCTCTATTAATTTCATTTAAAGTTAGAAAAATACAACTGCCTTCAGATTACATAAGTTTAAAGGCACAAAATTGTAATTTGAATGCTGTGCATACATTAAAGATGGAATGCTTGAGGGAAAATTATAAAAGGGAAAAATAGTAGGAAAATTAAGTATTGAAATAGTTCTTTGAAATAAGTTATATGACAACTGATTTATAATTGTAATAGAGCTAACAAAACTAGATAAAGACCAGAATTAAGACAAATCTTGTTCTACTGTTGACCTGAGTAAGCTTTTGACAAGGTTGTGATTTCCACTACTTTTGATTCTGTTTACTCACCAATGTAAGTAAAATGGTTAGTTAGACTTACAAGAATTAATGTGTTGTTAGTTATAATGACGGTACAAGAGTTATGATGACAAAACCTGTTCAAGCATGCAACATCACAATTGTTTAGGTATTTATTTCCAAAGAAACAACGTGAAAACCTGGAATGAATGTTTGAAACAACTCGGTAAACACATGTCGACTTGTCACTATAAGAAATGACTAAATTAGAACAATTCTTGTTATTTTATCGACCTGAAAAAGTTCAAAATTAAATTATTAACATTAAAAAATGATGTGTACAAATGAAAATCCTGTGCATGTTTGATAGTTTTAATGTTTTCCATTTATTATAAAAAAAGTGATTAATAATTGTAAGAGAATTAAATGAGAACAAGAATGAATATAAAAAAAAAAAATTCTTGTTCTATTGTACACCTGAGATAGCTTAACAAGAATGTAACTTTTTACTGGCTACGCCAGAAATGTTGTTTGATTCCAGTTCAGTAAATGTAAACATGATCTTATCATATAGAAAGATAAGGTAAACAATTAATTTGATACCATTTTTCTAGTCTTAAAGTAGATAAAAGTGCATAAAATTTGTGATAACAAGGGTTTTAATTAAAATTAAAGGGGATATTTTGTATCTTTCCGTACAAACAACAACAACAACAACAAACGGGTTTTAAAAAAATTTTTTTTATTATTATAAATAGCAAAATTATTGATAAATTTTTAATGAAAGGATATGTATTGTAGGAAAAAAAATTTATTTTTATTCTTTCAATTCATTTGAAAATGAATTTGACCTCTCATTCACCTTTCAAGTTATTGTCGTTATTATTATTCTTATTGAATTTTTTTTTTATTTCTAACGCGGCCCCCTTTTTTTTTTTTAATTTTTCCACACGGTTGAAAACATATCAAAAAAAATTAAAAAGTATGTTCGTTCGATTTTAAAAATGTTTTTGTTTCGTGTTATAATTAAAAAAAAAAAAAAGGTTTTCAATTTAAAAAAATGACAAGGAATGAATGTATATTTCATTATTTCAAGTGACTGAACAACCAACACACTCTCACAACATTTTAATTAACGCAACAAAATTATGTTGCATTGTGTTTTTTTTTCTACCTTTTAAATCTTTTTTTTTTTTTAAAAATAAATTCTATTTGAATTGAATTACGTAACGACAAAATAAGTGAGAGAGAGAGAGAGAGAGAGAGAGAGAGAGAGAGAGAGAGAGAGAGAGGTAAAAGTGAATTTTTAAATAGAAACTTTACACCGGTAATATTATGAGGGGAGGGAGGGGGGTCACATTTCGACACCGAAATTAAAACTTTTTTTTTTAACAAAAATAATACATCATGTATCAAATGTGATAAATTTCATTCCTTTCATTTAGGAAACCCCCCTCATAGGAAAAAAAAATTATTATTATTATTATTAAGAATGTTTATGGTTTGGTTAGTCGTAAATCAGAATAAAAATAAGATCAAGTGACAGCGGCGTAAAACACGCACACACACACACACACACAACACAAAAGAATTTAGGCGCCATATTTAATTGGCAGCCTCATAACTGCACGAAGCCATATTCGGAGAAAAAAAAAATTATTTTGTTTTTCTTTTAACTATTTTTTCCGCTAAATAAAATTAATTATCGGTAATAATAATAATAATAATAATAATAATAATAATAATAATAATAATAGTAATAATAATGATAATTTTCTACGTTTAAAAAAAAAAAAGGATGGAAAACATCCAGCAGAAAAAAAAATTACAAATGCCTTTAAGTCAATTTACGTTTAACCTGTTTTTTAATTATT